ATGTACAGTAACTTGGCTTGTTAAAAGGCTGCATTCCTCATCCCTAACTATAAATGTCACTGCCGCCCTTTCTGATATTTAATACCTTAAATTCTGTCATTTGTTTCCTATTTTAATTTGCTTCTGKAAAGAAAAGCAAAAGATTCATACTTCAAGTTAGCAAAGTAATCCTTCTTGTAAAAAAAACCTGTAGGTCTCTTGGTTAAAAAAAAAAAATAGCAAACTTAATGAATCTGATTTTAAAAATAATTTTATCAGAAGAAGTATTYTTAATAAACCAGTAAAAATTTATTTGCCTCTAGTTTTGATGTTAGTGATATTTTTCTGTGTACTTTTGAATATAAAAAATAAAAAAGCTTCAGCTGAGCAAGGATCACATTGAAATTACTCCTGGAATGTGCCTAAATAGTCATTTGAGAGCACTTTTGGTATTTCTGCTTTGTGAGTGAGATGCTTTGAAATTCCTCATCTCTGCTGAGAAAGGTGATAGCAAAGCTACCATGATTATTTGCATCAGATTCCAGGGCTGTGTTGTTACCTGTTCCTTGCAAAATCAGCAAAATATTACTATTGCACCTTGCTAACAAATAATTATTAGTAATTTACTTTATTGCTGGCCACAGCAAAATTCCTGAAGCTAGTTCTCTGGTTGGACAGTAATAAAGTGCAAGAAAATTTAGACAGTTTTGACTAGGATACATCCTTTCATCCTTTGTTTTATGTTCATTCTCTTATTTTCTAATTGTGTATTTATCAGCCTGGTTCCTCAAAGATTTCTGCATTACGGGCTCACACCCACTGGATCCAATGGAACAACTMATTTTTGCATTCTTTTAAGAGGGATGGAAACTGAGCTAAAATGAGAAGAACATTGCTTATGTATTTGGAATTTTTTCTCATGTCAATTTCATAAAAGGCTTCTTTGCAATTTGTCAGTTGAGCACCTGAATACCCAGATATCTTCCTCACACTKAGAAACTTCAATGCTGTGCTGTTGAATTTCATGTGCACCAGTGAAACCTCATTTACAATGTTGTTTCCAAATTCTTGAAAAGCCCCGTATTGAACACTGRTGATTGCTGCTGCTAAAGGTCAGATTTCTGTCAGTCTACTCTTTCTTTGTATGGTTTGCTCACTGCTTAAGAATGGTTACTATGGGTTGTTTTTGGAAATATTTTCTGATCTTTTCTGATCATAAACTGAACAAAGATAGATGAGAGATATGGTGGCTGTATTATGATAAAATAGTTTTCCTGAGGGAATGAAATGATCATATATATGTAGCTAGGCTTCAAGGAAAACTTGAAAAATGGAAAACAGTCTTTCCAATCATTATTCCATTTTACTGACACTCATCTTTAATGGATTGATTCCAACTCTCTCAGTAAGGATGACCATATTACGATATTCTACTTGAGCAAAGTTTTATCAGATGATGTATAAATTAAAGCAAACCCAGAGTGAACTACTACTCAAAGCAGAAAAGTATTTTATGTAAATCAAGCAGAGAGTAACCTTCTTTAGATGACCACATACTTTTCAGCCCATTTTTTCAAGACTTTATCATTCATATTTGCTAAATGAAAAAAAAAAAAAACAAACTTGCATTACTGCTGCTCTTTTTTTTTTATTTTCTTATCTTCTTCCTTTATCTTCAGTATCCTGAATACCTTTTTTTTTACTACTTAGCTCTGTCTCTTATTTCTGAATAGGTGTCTCTGACACCTATTTCCCACCTATGTAATTAGCAGTTGTCAGAGCATTGCTGTTAATATAGTAGACAGYTAAATTTTAAAGATTAGCAGTGATTTATTGAGATTATTGATATTGCATATGCATTTTGAACCAAGAGATTTCATTTATTTTGAAAAACAGATTGGAGTTTTAATAATGGGAACCTGACTGCTCTTACAAGAGAAAGAATTTTCAGAATCTGGGTATATTTTTATAGGAACAAARTAAGCAAAATAGGAAAGTGAATCGTTGGTGAAGAAGTGACTCTTTACACTGTTTGTAATTTGATTTCTGAAATTAGTAGCATTGGGATCTGGACAGGWTGGATTGATGAGTCAATGCCAGTGGGATGAGCTTCAACAAGACTGGGTGCCAGGTCCTGCCCTGGGGTCACAACACCCCCAGGCAGTGCCACAGGCTGGAGCAGAATGGCTGGAAAGCTGCCTGATAGGAAGAGGACCTGGGGGTGCAGGTGACAGCAGCTTAACATGAGGCAGCTGTTCCCAGGTGGCCAAGAAGTCTTGGCAGCATCCTGGCCTGGATCAGCGACGGTGTGGCCAGCAGGGCAGGGATTGTCCCCCTGTACCCCCCACTTATGAGGCCACATCTCGAGCCCTGTGTTAAATTTTGGATCCTTTGTGGCAGGAAAGACAATGGAGGTGGGGAAAGGTCTGGAGCACAAGTCTCATGAGGAGAGGGTAAGGGTAGCTGAGAGTATTTAGCCTGGAGGAGTCTCAGGTGTGACTTTATTGATCTTTACAATTTGACAGAAGGGTGCAGGGATGTGGGGGTTGGTCTCTTCTCTTGGGGAACAAGCAATAGGATGAGAGGAAATGGCCCCAAGTTTTGCCAGGGGAGGTTTAGATTAGCTGTTAGGAAAAATTYATCATGRAAAGGTTTGAYGAGCACTGGAACCGGCTGCCCAGGGACGTGGTTGAGTCACCATCCCTGGAGGTATGTGGAAGATAAAGTAGATATGGCACTTAGGGACTTGGTTTAGTGGTGGACTTGGCAGTGCTGGATTAAAAGTTGGACTAGACAATTTTRAAGATCTCTTCCAACTTAAACAATTCTATGATTTTATAAATATGTCATTAGATTTSCTGATCACAAGTGTTTAAAATCACAAGTAGACACTATTATTTCAAAGTAAAATAAAAGAACCTATTTCCTTTCTTGAAATAACTTTTACTATTTGGACATTTTTTGCCAATCTTGAGTTGAAACATTTTTATAAAGTACAGGCTATTTCAAGAACATATTTATTTGTAAGAYAAGGATTTGTCCAAAAAGAATATGTGTCACTAACAGGGCTTCTTTTTCTTTGGGGAACATGTGTGTTTCCTCTTCAGATACCTCTGAGGATTCTTCGTTGCTATGACTCAATAATGTAAGAATAATATCAGTGGGTGTTTCTCACAATGTTATCCACAAGACAGGAAGCTAACTATAAATTTTAAAACCCTACTCCTGTAAAGCTATTCCTTTTATGGKTTTTTTTTTCTTGTGTTCTTTTTTATTTAAAGTCTTGAAAGTTACAGCAGAGGACCTCAAAGCAACCAGAAGAATTAGGTGCCCCCTATTTCACTACTAGAGGCAAGCATTTTACATCAAAGAAAACATCTATTATATTTAGGAGCATGTAGTTTGGATTGACAGACTCTTAATTCTTCACATTACCCGCTTCATATAAAGATATTCCCATCCGCCCCGTAAGTTAATTAGATCATCTTCCTTTAGTCAGCCCATTATAATTGCACTAGCTTTACAGAAGCTCTGATCTCAGTTCCCAGCTGGCAGGGAGGACTGCCTCCTCCCAAAAAGCACTCACTTGTAGGGAGTGGCGAGGCAAATCTGTACTTCATTCTCCCACTGGACCCTACAAAATCACGTTAGTGAYAGGCCCTTTGACCTTCTCAGCTAGAATAAGTAGAGACAGCATAACTATGTCACCTGGCTATACGGAAGGATGAGTAGAAGAAATAATCATAATGAAAGCAGCAGACAGTGGACATYTGCTTTGTAAAATGTAACAATTGCAGCTATTGTGAGTAATAACAGTCCAAGCACTGTGCTTATCTTGAATGAGGAAATGCTATGTCCACTGCTCCTGATTAGAGTATCATATAGTATCTTATATAGTACCTATGTCACAGKTAGAGGAACAGAAAAAGACACGTTTCTGGAGCATAAATCAGTATTTCATATGAATAAATTATTTAGTGATAAATAGATAATAGATAAAACTATTATATAACTATCACACTGGTGTTGCGATCATTTGTTGCCAAATAGTACTTTTATTTATTTTGATAAGATGTACTATTCTCTCAAACTGAATGACCTTCCAAATATGTTTTGACATATATATGACATATGACAAGTGCTGAAAAATATTCTAGATTTCCAGAGATTCCAGAGATAATACAGTCCCTATTCCTGTTTTTTAACACCTTTATGGATATTTCACCTGTAGTAGAATTCTTTAGATTTAGTCTGGTGAAAGAACAATGTTCCGACATGTTTCAAAACCTTCCCTGGTATTTCACTGACTTCCAACACTTTATGTTATACCTTTAAAAAATTATTTGGCTTGAGCAAGGAAAGGGAAAAAAAGTGAGAGCTTGAAGAGCGATGTGTATTTGCTTCTAGTATTTATTTCYAAAATCTGTCAAAACATATAATTGTAACTAGGATATTTTGATAATAGTTGGTTAGTCAATCACTGCAAAAACAACCAGTTTCTCAGGTGGCTTATACATATATTCCTAAAACCAATAGATATAAAATTAGTTTAAATTATTTTGGATGCATGTGYATATTGGAGTCTGCTGGCCAAAGTACTTATAAATAATGTTTTTCTGTTGATTCGAAATTTTAAGCTCTAACTTCTTATTATAGAGCAGCCAAAATGCTGGGCAAACATGATCTCTTTCATAAAGKAAAAATACAATTCAAATATTAACTCATTTCACAAAAGAGTTTTTAACTGGTCTCTTATAAACCATAGATGTAAATAACAATATAGAAAACCTTTTCACAGCAGAATTCCATGTAAATGGAATTTACTCATTAACTTATTGACATTCTTTGAAAGCATGTCAGGGTTCTCATTAATGGCAATGCTGTCTGGTTAGAGCAAATGTAGTAATGGAAGACAGAGGACCATTAACAAACCTTTTATTCTTCCAGTCATATATTTTTGGATATTCTGTCCATGACAGAATTAAAATTTTGCATTTCCTAATGCCATGTTTTCCTTCTAGGTTTTTGGAGACCAAAATCAAGGAGCAGTTTTCCTACGGGAGTTTACATTGATTCGGCGAGAAAGTCTTCATGATGATTTCCTATCTGATTTGCTCAATAACCACAAAACAGAAGACCCGGTAGGAATCTTCTATTATTCCAAAACATTTTAGAAGAGATTATTGCTGAAATGCAGTTTGTGATACATCTTTCATTCTGCTTCATTAATCTATGGAAAGTAACAGTACTAGATTCCTAACATGAAAATGTTACCCTAAAAATGCTGTAAATTACATGTAAATAAAGATGTGTTCATATGGGTGTCAATGCATATGAGATTTTATCATTTAAAGAAAAACTCTTTCAAAAGACTCACATATTGGTCTTTTGCTTTCTAATGGTAATTTTTCTTATTCAGAATTTTAGCATGTGCTACTATTGTTCTACTGTTGCTTCTGCTACTGTTTGTGCTTTATGCATGCAAAGGGAGATTATTTCTTATTGAATATGAGTGAGTAAAGATGAATTTATAGGTAATGTAAAAATATAAAATTTTGAAAGGAATAGTTTTCYTAATTGCACTGAGAAATGTAATGAACAATGAAATGAAACCAGTTTTATGAAAAGTGCATTTTCACTTTCTTCTGTATATTCCTGGCAAAGTATTTAGTCCAGGTCTGAAGGATTCCATGTTGTCTAGCAGCTGATATTTTTGAAGAAAATGTAGAAATAAAAAAGTGGGCAGTCATTTTTATTCATGCTTTAATGTGAAATTAAGCAAGCCAGCTGATTTTAAACTGCAGCAAATTTGCCCTACCAGGATGATTAAGGGACTCTTACAAGGAAAGAGGGAGGGAGGTGGGCCTGTTCAGTCTTAAGAAGAGATGACAGAGGGGACCTCATCAATATATACAATTATCTGAAGGGAGAGTGCCAGTGCATGGATCCAGGCTCCGCTTGGTGGTTCCAAGCAGTAGGACAAGGGACAATGGGCACAAACTGATGGGTTCTACCTGAGCGTGAGGAAGAACTTCTTTACCATGTGGGTGGCAAAACATTGGAACAGATYGCCTGGAGAGGTTGTAGAGTCTCCCTCCCTGGAGATGTTCAGGGACATARCCCTGYGCCATATGCTCTGGGATGGCTCTCCTGGATCAGGGAGGTGGGATCAGATGACCCGCTTTGCCTTTCAGTCTTACYSTTGTGTGATTTTGTAAATTTTTAGGTGTGATATTTTCAAGGGCTAATACATCTTGATTTCTAACACACTGTGGTTTAACAAAAGCAGTTACCATGATTACCATGAATTGGTGATGTTTTTTAGGGACAAAATACTCTCTAATACTGAATATTTATTTAGTCTGTAGGATAGAGTGATTCTAGAAATTTGTGTTGGCACAACCATACTTAGCACCTGCCTAATCAACCTTTCTTAGGTTATCTTTATTTTTGAAWGAGGGAATGTTATCCAGGTATAATTATGTGTGTAGAGCTAACACTTCAGAAGAACAGGGCAGATATCTTTTGATAAGTCTTACTGCACAGGTCAAAGGAACCACTTAGCAAAAGTAGAGAAGATATTARATAATCCCCTGTGATGGGCTAACCCATCTGCTCTCAAACAAGTTGTCCTTAGTGCTTTACTAGTCCTAAAAGAGATTTCAGATCAGTCAAACTGAACATTTCATTTTACCATTTTGGGTAATTTTAAATCAGTTTAGGATTTTATCAAGCAACTGCTTTACTGCCAGAACGCCTGTACTTGTTCTTCTTTTAAACCATTTATCCTCTGTGGTCCAGAGATAAAAATGGCACTTTATTACAATTYTGTCATTGAACTGATAGCAGTGATTTGTTGCTTTTTTGAGTTGTCCTGRTCATATGCATGTTCACAGTTGTTTTAGGATCACACAAGCAGAGAGTACTCTGCAGATTATTCATAGATTTCACTTCCAGGCAGTGTTTGTTTTTGTTTTGTTTTGTTTTTTTTTAATTACTTTCACAGGGATGCTATGACTTTCCTGTGATCTTCTTTCTATGCAGTTATGATTGATGCTATGACATTCTTGTGATCTTCTTTCTATGCAGTTATGAGTGCTTGAGAACACATCTACACTGAATAGTGCCCGGAAAATATGACATTGCAATATTCGTAATATTGCAATACGTTTACTTATGATTTAAAGAACTTATTTTCCAACCTCATCTCTCTGTGATAGTATCTTCTACTACTGAAGCGCATACTGTTTTATCTGCATGTCTGATTTGGCAGGCAACAGCTGGTATGGAAGAACTTGAAATAACTTTTCTGTATTCTGCCTGAAATATTTTAAATATATGTGACTTGTTCACTGTGTCCTATGCAGACTATTTTAACAACAAGCTCTAGTTTCAACAAGGACTTTTCTTTAGCACTTATTCCAAATTTCTGCTTCATAAGTGCTTGTGAATTTGTTTTCAAAAATCTCCATATCATATACAGGATATTGTTCCTATTATATAGATCTAGATTCAAAGGCTCACAGACATTAAAGTCAAAAGCATCTACTTTTCTTGAGTGCTCTGAGACACAAGGATCCATTTTTTACTGTTTACCTCACATGACATAGCACTAAGTTGAGGGGGAAACTATTGACCTCAAATACAATCCTGGCTGCTCAACATCTTTGTCTGTCAAGCTAAAAATAACAGGTAAGGCATKTACAAATCAAATTCCATGATCACTAAGGTATCCAACAAAATGCTACAAATGACTCAACTGGAGTGATACAAAAATTGTTATAGAAGCAGATAGAGAGTGTAAAAGAAAGAAAGCACAAACTATCTTCTAGGATCAATCATTCTCAATTCATGGGACCAATCTTTTCTTTCCTTTATTTTCCAGTGAGATAATGGTGTATCAAATGAAGAAAAAAACTTACGGGAAACTGTTTTTCTAACTAAACACAGAGAAAACAACCTCTACTGTAATAGTTCCCCAGTAAATCTCTCACTCTGTTTCTTTTTAGAAGTCCTGTGACTTATAAAAAGTGGACTTTCCTGTTTGCATATTTTCAAAACTGGTGTGCACACAGAGCCTCTGTGAAAGTTGGACAGCTAGTGTCTTAATTATCATTTTAAAAGTCCTTAATGTTGGCATTTTCCCTTGATGAAGACATTAACTGACTAGATTCTTTCTGAGAAAATTCAGGCTGATGATCCATATTTTTAAGTTGTTGTCTGAAGTATGTATCTTTAYTCCTTTGAAAAAGACCATGTTACCACTGGTTTTCTGGGTAGCTGAGAACACCCAAAATGGTTGATTCACTTCTGATATTGAAAAGTAATACCCTCATAACTCCACAGCCTTCTGGGCAGAGCTGTGCATTTCCAGAGGCACCAGGTGAGTCTTTAACAGGATGAGAGAATAATAAGCAAGCAGACTTAGAAAGCTTTCTGGGCCTGAGCATTAAAAACTGTTGGCAATGATGCTGTAGTAATGTCTGGCAATTCTCAGCAAAAGTTGGAGAGATTGAATGAACTTTTTGTTCTTTTAACCAGTTAATAAAGCAAAGATGCCTAATGAGGAAATACRCTACCTGCCTGAAGGCAGTTTTAAACAATTGTTTGCAAGATTGTGTTAAAAAGTATAGGTTAGCCAAAAGAGCTTAGATTGCAATATTCAGTCCAATGAAAAATAGGCTTCCAATAAAAAGGCTTTATCTTGGTTACTGAAATTACTCACAGAGATGTTTTCCTCATCTTTCAATCATATTTCCAACTTTGRAGAACACATGATTTAGCTTCTTAATGCTGCGGCCATTTGTTCTTACTTTCAATATATGCACTAAACCCCAAGTTTATTGGTATAGCTCTATCATTAATGTCAGGGGAAAATTACTAGAAGCCAGAGGAGGGTTTATATTTTTATCCTTTCCTTTGTCTTGGGCAAAGTCAATAGCTGAGATTACACTGACAAAAATRTTCAAAGGAAGCCCCTGAGATATATTTAACAATTTCTGAGTTATGGTGTTTTCCCCACTTCTTCTGGAAAAAAATATTGAAAATAATTTAAGAACTCAGGGAAAATAATTTAAAATATAATGGTTGTAGACATAAAAGTTAAGGTTCAGGAAATTCCTAGTTCAAAGAATGTCTCTTCTACATTTTGGGGGAAGTTCCCATTTACATGTTCCTGCAAGTCAGGGATGACACTTTTGGGCATTCAGGAATTCTGAGGTCAGTCTATAAAAAGTATCAGTTTTACTAAGCCATTGTTTAAAACCTCAGATTAAATCCAAAGTTCTATGTGCTTAGGTTTGATTCTGAGATAAAATTATTGATTAGAATGTCTCTACATCATTATGAAGTAAGAATAAAAAGAARCCTTAGAAAACATTAAGAAAATCTAGATGTATATCTAAATTTCTTTCCCAGCTGATTCAGATACTTASAATTTATTGCTTGTGCCTTTTGGATGGAAGGGTTAATTTTCGGAATATAAATATCATGAAGATTTCATTCATTCTGTTTTTGAGCCATACTTTGTTTCCTTTGTACTCTGAATTATTTATKTGTAACAGTACATTGTACTCATATTATGTATAACAGTAGAGGATCCTCAGCCTGTTGACTAAGGAATTTCCAAGCTTCTCAGCTAAAAAGAACATATTTCTAAATGGTTATGAAATGCAGAACCCAAATTTGAGCTCCTCAGGGATGGGCAATCACTGGAGCACAGGAATTATGGGCCCTGCCCCATTCAGCTCCTGACATGACAGAGAAAGAAAAGTCCTTGGATGATAGGAGGAGCTCTCCTCTGACTAGCCTCACCTTGAATTTGCTTTTGGTAGGTAAGAGATCTCCCTGGTGTAAGTTAAGATGGTCTGTGTAAGCTGCTGCTGATCCAGTCACTTGAAAATCATTACTTTGACCTGGAAAAACCTTAATACTGACYTAAGTATTTTTGAGAATAAAGCAGAGCTGTCTGTATTTTTACTTGTTCCCTGAGACTAGGAATTGTTTAAGATTATTTTAGACTATTTGTTATTTTCTCTGCAAAATAAGCTGCTCGGGGAAGTCCAAATCACAAGTGTTTTGGAATGTTTCTCAGTTTATACTTTTAATAATTGCTATTTTTTTCTCCAGACTAAATTCCTTT